AAGGTACGGAATAGTTCTAGAAACTAGAGGGCGTGAGAATAGTCACGTGATCTCGATGACGCAACAAAACGTTCGATGGATATCTTTAGTGTAAATCAAGTAGTATTTTGTGTACATCGAAACTACATTAATTTAACAATGACAAAAAAGCCTTTATACTACATAACATAAAACACTAGTACAGTGATTGTAATATCTTACTGTGCATAGTCGGGCAGTGTAAGGAGCTGTAAGAAAATTTGATTTACTTAAAGAGGTTTTGTATGTTAAAAGAGTGAGGAACTTTGCACGTGAAAACCAGTCAAATTTAAACTAAACTCTGATGATTCTACTATAGCAAACACGTAAAAGAAGAATAGAAAACCTTGTTATATTTCATGTGGATTGAAGATGGCTCAAATTACTAGCTCTCCAAAAGTGAAAAGTACAGTTTGTTTCAGATATTCATGCAAAGCCACATAAGGACTTCCTGCACTGGCCATCGTTAATTTTGAACTAATAGAATAGAGGAAAGGCAGCTAGTTAACAACATCAACAACAAGCTCTTGGCCTGCTGTAATCGAATAGAGGGATTTGACCATCACTCTTATAATGCACCTACGGCCTCAAGGTGCAGAGTGCGATTTTGCTACAACAGGACTCGAGTCATGGACCCTCGGATTCACAGTTCTGTACGCTAACCAGGCCATGCCCGACCCTGGAAAATAAAATAACACAATAAATATTATGTTGCAAATTATCATTCTTGTAAATTCCAGCATATTATTCCATTTCTGTGACATCTTAATTTTATTTTAAATTCAAATACTGCAGAAATTGTGTAATTGGATTGGTGAATAACAATTTTCCCAACATTTGGCATGTTTGTCATAAAACACACGAGCTAATTAGAATCTCTTGAATATATAGAACATCAGGTTTTGTTTACATACTGTATTTACGTTACCGCCATCTCGTGGAAAAATGTTAACTTATTACTTCAAGGCTTTCATAAACATTTATAAAAGTTGGTTGCTTTGGCATTGTTTTGTGAATTTTTTGTGACATTTTTAATCAGACCGGATTAATCTATTATACACAAGTTACCCATAGCATAGGAACTCCAGCTGAATTAGGGACTTATGCGAGGTCAGCCTTCTTTGTCCACTCCCCCCTTCAAGCCTTTTATGAAATGATGCTTCTCTCACCTGTGTGAGTTTAATGAAAATGTAAAATAGACATGTGACAAATAAGCGGATACAAATGATGAAATTTCAAATGATTTTAACTTTAAATTTAGACAATCCATTTATGAACTCACCAGACACAGCATCTGTTAACTTATATAGGGCTAAAAGGTTGGTTGGTACTACTTGGCAAGTTGCCCGATAGGAAAGAAAACTTTCCTGTTTCCTCTGATGTCATCATTTCATAATTCGCTTGTTGATATCACCGACTTAATAAGATACTTGTCCATGTTACGTGTGTAGCACTAAATGTAGTCATGTCTAGTTATTGAAATCGTCTTTTCTTTTGTATTGTGGTGGGTATCTCACATTATTTGGGCAGTTTGTCCATCAGACTGTTTTTCTGGCTGACTAAAGAATCTGTAACTACCTAACACTGGAGGTGTGGCATCCCCATCCCAGATAATTACTCTTCTGGTTCTGTTATTTTATAATTAATTCATATCAGCTCCAACATAGTAGAAACAAAATTAATGTTTTAAAGATTCGTGAATAGCGTAAAAATATAAGTAGTCGTAAATTACAAGAAAAAAGTAAAATGTATATTCTGATGAAATGAATTTAATACTTCCAGTTAATAATAGAATATATAAAACTAAAGTTCTGATTTAACTTGAAACAGGTGGTAAAGTTTTAATAAAAAAGTACCTTGACAGCCGGCTATAGAGTTGTTACGTCTCTGTTCGTTTGTTAATTTCCCTTAGAAATTCTTCCCGAGAAACTTCAGCGATACAAGTTCTTTCTTAAATAAAACTAGTTTATTCTTTCTCAATACAACTTTGCAATACACTTAGTTTCGACAGTTACTTTAACATAAACACACGCTATAATTCACAACGAACGATTCACACACTTTGCTTACTACCGCACTTGACTCAATTGTCCGTATCTATCTCTGCCTGTCTGCAATTCTATCCCGATTCATTGTCTGGCGCACTTATATACAAGAATAGAGGGCGCCTAGCAAATACTGGATTATTCGTGATGTTCCCCGATCTTTCTAAAGCTCATTACGTGTTACCAACGAAAGATCGGAAATGATGTCTTGGTTAGCACAATTTTAACTGTACGCAAGAATGATTCATTTGGTCAACATTTTCACTATATGTTCCAAAAAAATTTTAATCAATAATTTATAGAGAAAATGACAAAGAAGTACAAGGACGTGCTTTAAAAAAATAACCATTTAGGCGGTACCCATGCCTATCTTGGCTCTAATGTATCACTGCTCGAAAGATTGATTATTTAAATAATAACTACGATTATGACCACAATACAAAATTTAACATAAGTCAGTTAATTCGTCAGTTCCATTTTTCAATAATTTACAGATTGCTTCTGTGGAATCACGAGGATTTATCGCAGAGTAGAGGAGTTAGGCTCGCAAATAATAGGAGTCTCGAGGATCTCCTGTGTGGATGTTTACCTCCAGATGGGTACGATAATTGGGCCACAGATTACAAAAAGTTCATTAATTTCACCACAGTTTAAAGTAAATTCAATAATACCCTATTACACAATTTAAGGTGTTACCACAGATTACAATCGGCAAGTGATGGTACGGGTG